ACCACTCATCAGGTCATGCTGAGTCTGTGTCTCACACAGCACAACCAGGGGGACCTACAACTAGAATATACAACTGTGTTCTGGGGGCCTTTGGGGAGAAGAAAAAGAAGAGGAAAAAAAGAAAATTGGCAACAGATGCTAGCTTAGGTGCCAATCTTTAAAAAAAAAAACTAGCACATTCTTATCTAGTGAAATTTCTCTGCATTTTGAGTATCACCAACAAACCTCTCTTTATGTAAACAAAAAGGGAAAAATTATTTTTATGCACCAAAAGACCATAAAGGGACCCCTTGCTGTGTCTTGTCTATGTCTCATTCCTGCCTAGGAAAAAGGATGGTTAGAAAAAAAAGTCAAGTTCACCACCAAGCTTCCTACCTCCAGCCCTTGCACCAAATCATGAAATCTCTTTTCCTGCTAGTGTTTATGGCACACAATATGTAACTAATATTTTGCTAGGTGTGGTATCCAGAAAATGTCTGAAGCTAATTCTGACTACATAGTTGTTACTGGATCGACCTCCTTGGTGAGGGAATGATCACAGATCCCCCCCACTGCTCCCCGATTTCCCCAAAAGAACTTTGAAATGACCAAATACCAGCACTGCTCCTTCAACTCCCAAGCTGGGCAGAAACAGAAGACCCAAGAGATGAAGCAGCAAGGAAGAGCAAGGTTAAAGGACCAAAGTCCCTTTCCCAAATGAAGACTTGAAAAAGAGTAGAAGAGAAAGCTGGATGGTGCCAAAGCTAAACAAGGGAGCTGGGATGGGGGGCGTGTTTCCCGGTTGAAATACCATAACATTGTCAGCACTGAAGAAGAACCGCTGTGTTACGAATTGAGCATCATTCGAACAATTTGAGAGACACCAGTAAAGAAAGAAATTTCTTATATACACTCACAAGCCCACGACATGTGCCACAGAGAATCACACATTCTGTTATGACCACTAGCAGGAGTGGAGATAAATGAACATCTATTGAGAACCTACTAAGAGCCAGACACACTTATCTCAATTAATCCTCCCAACAGCCCTATGAATTCAGTATGTTTACCCCTTTCTAGAAAATACAGCTGTGAGTAGAGAGATTCAGTAAACTGCCCAAGGTCATAAAACTAGCAAGTAGTGGAGCAGGAACAAAGCCTGAGCTCTCCTAGAGCTACTGCCAGGAGCCCCTGATGGATGAGGAAGACACTGGGCCAAAGTTGTTGCCGGAGGAAGTGTCTCAGGAACTGGCCTGACACGTCCCTCTGGACTGGGGTGTCTCTGGATCTGTGCTCCGTTGTGAAACTGGGTTTCCTGACACTTTCTTGGAACCTGTCTCTGCACAAAAGCTGTGGGATGTCTTTGCTTGTGTATGGTCATAAACTGCAGCCCACTGACCCTCTTTCTTTGTCCCTTCTGTATCTTTGTCCCTGCTATCACTGGTGGTAGAAGCCAGTACACTTGCAAAAGCTGCTTTTTATGAGTTTCTCCAGAAACTTTTTTTATTCTTCTTCCTCCTCTCTCCTCAACATTTTTCCTTCTTTCTCATTCCCCCTTCTTGTCCTTTATCTACTACCCAATTTCCAGGCTTTACCTCCCACTGATCTTAACCTACAGGAAATACAATCAAGTATTCTCTTTAGCAAAACTTGGTAATGTTTTGAATTATTTACCATTATTACCCAGAACAAGAGTTGGATTCTTATGACCATTTCTCCCTCTGGCCACTGAATTGCTGCAAACTTATTTCTTAAACTGTGAATAGCCCAGATTATGTCATAATTGCAAATTATCCTGATCTCGTATTTCTTTTATTTTGACAATACTGACATAACTGCAGAGAAATAAAGAATAATTGTTAGCTAGAGAGAAGCCAACAAAGAATTCTGTTTACTGTGTGACCTCACAGAGGAAGTGCCCACAATCTCCTTATTTCTTCCCTATTTCTAAGCTGCTTCTTTTTCATAGTGAGCCAATAGAGATCTTGCTGGAGGGGACCTTAGGAAGGTTGAGTTTAGGTAAGGGGAGGCGCAGACCCAGCAGAAGCTTAGAGTAGATGAAACCGTAGGCGTGTATACTTTCCATACTGAGTTAATTCTATGTTCTTCTCTAAGAGGCAAAGCCAGGAAGTAAAATTCGGCTAACAGTGAGATCTACCATTTCTCAAAGGTGGGACACACTGGTTGACAATACAATGAGCTTCCACTCCTTAGTTCCAGCACAAATCTTTGTCCTCGACATTTCCTCTGCTCTCCCCACCTGTTACTAGCCCACCAGGCCAGCCCTTCTGACCAGAGCTCAGCCTCATGGCTGACACACATGATTCGGATTACCAGTGAAAGCCAGATAGCAATTCCAATATCCTCGTGACAAATCCTAAATTAATGATATTTAAAAGAAGACTTAACATACACACAGGCAAAAATATTGTTTTATACACACACACACACATCATTGTCTTGAGTATTGAAGACAATTTCTCCTTTTGCAGCCACTTAGTGGTATAGCCTAGTAAGGAAGACAGTGGCACCCAGTGGACAAACGTTTATTTGAGACAGGTGTTGCATTCTGAAATAGTCTCATATCTTAGCCTTCAGAAAGGTCGGTGGCTCCCCTTACCTTTCCCTATCCTTCTGTCATCCCATTTTTAAGATATTTACTAAGTTTAAAAATAGGAGGGAGGGGAATGTTCTTACAGTTTTATCTTTTCCAGAATAAGACTAAACTAAAACACTGGAAAAAGCAAAAGCTCAGGATTAAATCCTCTGAGAAAGTTTCTGTATTTGATTAACCTGTTTCAAAACAGTAGCAGCGGAGACAGCCAAATCTAATAAAATACTCAACTTAATTAAAAATGTAATATTGAAAATGCCTGTAATAGGTCTTTTTTTTTTGCACATCATACTCTTTTTCCTCAAAGCACTGCCAACTTCCAATGAACTTTACTTGGTTATGCAAATTTGGCAACTCCAAAGACAATACTTTAGGAAAATAACACATAGACCTTGCAACTTAATGCTATTGTGTAGTTTATCTGGGAACCAAACAAACACCTATTTTCATTCTCCTGCTCTTTCCTTGATTCTTTTGGTTGTGAGCTACTTGGGTAGAGAAACCCTGGCTTATCTATCTTTCTTCCCAAAACGCCTAAATAGCATCTTACTCATGGTAGGTACAAAGAAGTTGAGTGAAATCTAGTTTCCATTTTACATGTTTAATCTGCTAAGCAGTGAAAAAAATATATCTAATTGTTTGATGCTACATAAAGGGATCATCAAGTTAAGAATCTTAAATATTAGGGGCCGGCTCCATGGCCCAGTGGTTAAGTTTGCACGCTGCGCTGCAGCAGCCCAGGGTTTGGATTCTGGGCGTGGACATGGCACCGCTCGTCAGGCCATGTTGAGGTGGCGCCCCACATCCCACAACTAGAAGGACCTGCAACTAAGATATACAACTATGTACCGGGGGCCGGGGTTGGGAAATAAAGCAGAAAAAAAAAAAAAATCAAATATTAGAGGCTACTTGTACTGGATAAAAACATTTTATAAGGAACAAAAGGAATGAGTACTTTTATGGGTGAATTGAATTTTACCAATTTAAATGAGAAATCATTAAAAGACATTCAATTACAAAATAAACATATAACTTCTTAGTGTAACCCAATATCAGCAGGGGTGCCCTCCTTTATGTCAGCCATTCAAAATTCCTTCTCCATTTGGCAGCTCTGAAAGTCTTGGTTTTTGTGCTTTGAAGTGGTTCCTCATGTTCATCACTACATTCTTTGTAATTCATAATTTTGCCACAGTTTGAGCCTTCTTTTTGTTTGTTTTAGAGAAAAGACCAGTTGGGAAGTCAGAGTTATGGCACAAGGCTGAGATGCAAGCTTTCCCAAAAGGATCTGGGCCTAAGGCAACACGCTTTCATTAAGTGATGTATGTCCCCGGTGACCCCTTGCATCAGTCACATTTAGTCAGTTAACAATAAACACAACCCAAAGTAACAGATACTCTTTTTGGTAAACTGAAAAAGAAATGGAGGCTGTTTGTGTGTGTGTCACCACATTACATGTTAATTATACTTTTCCTCATAACACAAGCACCTTTCCCCCTTAGTTTCTGCAAAAATTCTAAAATTTGGATGCAATCAAAATTTGCTGTGCAGGTCTTTGTTATGAAAAAAACCTAAAAAAATTGTTTTTCAAAAGTTTCTTAAATATATTAGCAAAACATACCAATCCATGAGAAATTAATAAGCGTTTATAACATTTCAGGATCTCTTCTGTCCTTTTTCCTCCGTTGATTGTCACCAAGAGTGAGCAGTGGTGTCCTGTGCTGTGGCAGGACCCAGACTCCAGGCAGCTTCGCTCTCTGGGGCCAAGCCCCCTGGCCCAGGGGGAAAGAGCAGCAGTCGCAGTGGGATTTGCACTATACATTCCACCATTTGCAAAGTGTAATCCCGTTGGGAAATGGTCCAGCCCCTGGTCTTAGCTTTCTAATACACACAGTGCCTCTGAAACCAGGGACCTGCTGTGTACGCAGATGACCTGTAAAGTGTCGAGGCTGCCCCGTGCAGGCTATGCTCCACCTGTGACCTGCTTTGCTTCTGTGAGTTTCAAAAACCCAAGAGGGAAGCCAATATTTGGAAAAATTCTCTTTCCTCAAATAATTCGAGAAAATTACTGCTGTATATTTCCTATAGGTTTTATCTTAGCTTTGGGCTTGTCTGTTTATAATGCAAATAGGCTTCACTTAATTAGGAAAACCACTCATTTAAAGATGGCTTGCCTAGCTCATGGGCTGTGGTGAAGGAAAATCAAAATATAAATGTAAAAGAAGTTTTAAGGCTGAAAAGTTCTCTACAGATTAAAGCACTTATTGTTATACCTAAAATGAATGAAATGCTGTGTGTGTGTGCTTGCACAGGTGCACATATGTGTACCAACAGGCACAGACGTTAAAACATGCACTTGTTCTACTGCACACTGAGGACATATATTTCCAATCCTAATGTTAGGTATTACCTGTTCAGATAAGGCTTTAGCCTTTTCTTCTGCTTCCTTCAGGCAAATCTCTAAGGACTCGAGTTGTGCCAAAGTAAACACCATCCGTCCAGTTTCCAGGGACTCTTTCTTTAAAACAATAATCAAGTATTACTTTTTGACATGGATAGTTTCCTGAGCACATCTCTAACAACTTTGAGAACTACAGATAGGCTTAAAAAACTCACACCAATGATCTCCTTTTCTTCTTCAACACAGTAATAAAACAGTGAAATGTTATAAAAACAATAGTCTTATTTAACAGTTTAGAGTCTAAAGGGAGGGTAAAAAATGTACATTAAATTATGACAACGCACAGCCTTAGAAAGTTAGAATAAAATTATCCATGTTGGGATTTGGTTAATTTGCAACTTTTATTCTTGATACAAAGGGAACTTTCTTTCAAGACGTCAGGACCAAAATTTCACATTCCTGGGGCTGGGCCCGTGGCCGAGTGGTTAAGTTCCTGCGCTCTGCTTCCGTGGCCCGGGGTTTCTCCAGTTCATATCCTGGGAGCGGACATGGCACTGCTCATCAGGCCACATTGAGGTGGTATCCCACGTGCCACAACTAGAAGGACCCACAACTAAAATATACAACTATGTACTGGGGGGATTTGGGGAGAAAAAGCAGAAAAAGAAAGATTGGCAACAGTTGTTAGTTCAGGTGTCAATCTTTAAAAAAAGAAAAATTTTCACATTCCTAATAAGAGATGTCACCTAGAATGCCTACGTTTTTAACATTCATGTATCATGAGGAGCAGAGTCATTTGAACTCAGAGAACCTCGTGTTTTCTCTGATCGTCACCTTCTTATCCTGAGTTCTGTTACAGCAAAGATATTACATGGTTTAGAATCAGATCATTCTTCCCCAGAACACGGCTAATATGACTCAAATCAGCAAACGCGGAGACTCTGCCTCTCAAAATTGTTCTAAAGTCTCTCTTGCTCATCCACGAGTGGAAGAGTATGCAAAATCAGTATGGAAATACTAGTTACAGGCCCTACTGAGCCTAGAGTGCTTCTTGACTACTCTTTGGCTATTATAATACTTAATAATTACACAATGAAATGAAAACTTATAAAGAAAACCTCATATGTGCTGGGATTATGATCTTGCTATAGTCTCCTTGAATGTGTCCTGTTTTCTTGTGAATGTTCAGGCTATGGGCAGCTGCTTCCAATTAACCCCATAAAAAGAAAGAACTGTATTCTCACATATTCAAAAAAAACCTACTGCTTTGTCTTTTCCCTTTGGTTTAGTGATCCCACCGATTTTACACATGTGTGCATTTCCTGATGATACAATAGAGCCATCTGGTGGTAAATGGAACCAGCCATAAAAATAAAGCATTCATTCAGTTCCTATAATTGCTCATAGAATATTCTGAACCTTAGGGCCCTACCACTGGCTTTTTATATAAGTGAAACTCTATGGGATGAGGGGTGAAGAAAAGTCGCTACATCTCAAAAACAGCCTGGCTCCTAGGTCAAGCTCTGCCACACACGGCTGCATAGACTCCCCCACAAGTTGGACTTTGGGGGATGAACATCTTGGGCTAGAGCAGTGATACTTGGGATGAACCAATGATCCTCAGCATTCCATAATGATTGCAATAATTTCAAGAGTCAGTCCAAAAACACCTCAAAAAATGAGACTTGAAACAAAATTCTTGTGTATTTACATTTACGTATCATTCATGCTGCAAAACATGAAGAAAGGGGAAATTGTCAAGAGGCCAAACTGTTCCAAAAGCATTGGGAATCTCTGATCTATTTCCAGGGAGAATCCTCTTGTCTAATGTTTGATCTCAAGAAAAAATTTTCTAAATTCTTGTGAGTAGACCCAGTAAGATCAGCTAATCTATTTCTCCAGGTCTTTTTCTCCAAACATCTCAAGTTTCCTCAGCCAAGAAGGACAACCATTTCCAGTAAGACAAAAGCATTCTAAGTCAAAGCCAAATGCAACAGGATTGACTGAAGACTGTTGTTGAAAAACGTAGGACTCTGTTTTATAAGTAGATTTAAGAAAATATCGTGTGTAGAACAGGGCTGGCCCCGTGGCATAGTGGCTAAGTGCGCACGTTCTGCTTCTGCGGCCTGGGGTTCACTGGTTCGGATCCCCGGTGCGGACATGGCACCTCTTGGCACACCACGCTGTGGTAGATGTCCCACATATAAAGTAGAGGAAGATGGGCACAGATGTTAGCTCAGGGCCAGTCTTCCTCAGCAAAAGGAGGAGGATTGGCAGTAGTTAGCTCAGGGCTAATCTTCCTCAAAAAAAGAAAAGAAGAATTTCAGAAATAAGTAAATACATGGAGTTAGAGGTTTTGGACATAGGTGTTTGGTTTCAAGGTCCCTAAAAACGTTAGGTGCAATTAGTCATTGTCCCAATTTTGCAAGATGTGGTGGCAGAAGAGCAGAAAGGTGGGACTTAGACCATTAAGTTCATTCTACTTCCAGCACATACGGATACATTGTACATAAAGCAATTTATCTTTATTATGGCCATGAAACTGTCTTGGTGATTAAAGTAACTGATGAGTGAATTGTACTAATCAACAATCTGTTATATGACATTGCTTGTTTAAAATATATGATATTTACAGGTGTTTGGGAATTGAGCCTGTGTCTGTAGATTTTCAAATGGTAAATTCTAGCAATTCATTGGGAATTCCAGTTTTTAACTTCTACTCTTTGTCTTAAAATTTTCTACTTAAATATCAAACCAGTAATCTAAGTACCTGCAGATAAGATAACCAAGATGATCAAACTAAAATAATACTATAGAATATTAAAACTCAATAAACTCTTTGATTACAGTGAAGACACTAGACTACTATGCAGGCGTGTTAATGTTGACAGTCTACTAATTGACAAATCTTATACAAAATTGTAAGAGTAGATTTTCTTTTGGCTGCAGAGGTTTCTCATTTGAGAAACTGGAGGAAAATCTACTCTTTTTTCCTAATTTAATTTTTCTTGATTTCTCTAACCCATCTCAATATCTTTTCATTGTCCTCTTCCTTACTTTTAAGCCAGTATTTCTTTGCCTTACAATGACCTCACTCTTTTTCTTCAGCCATGAAAACCTGTTCTACCATTCAGCCCTGGTTCAAGGTCTCTGACTTATACAAATCTTCCACCTGCTCTGAATCCACATGTAACACTTAGAAAGGCTCCTGTATGCAGAGACCAGACAAAACTTCACCGAGTGTTTAGTAGAAGCTCACTAAACAGTTGTTGATTGATTAGGCTCAGCAGTCAAGGAAGGTGGTTGCCTCAGAAGGAGTGGTCCTTCATGCTGAGAGGCCATAACAGTCACTTCACTGAGCAATACATTCCATGCATCCGGCCTGGGACACTGACAGGGATCAGATGCCAGGGAAAGTCTGTTTGCCAAGGCCAGGGGCCAGACGGTGCAGCAGAGGGCAAGGACATGGCCACGGGTTTGGGTGATGGAAGGGTTATTGTGAGGATTAAATGAGGTAAAGCCGGTAACTGCTTGGACAGAAGAAGGGCTCAATTAATGTTATTATTAATAATTCTATTATCCCAATTCCTTTAAGGAGAATCATCTGATATTAAAACTTGCCAGCCTATTTTTAAACCCTAGTAAAAGAAAGTCCTCTTAGAGACACTTTTGTAACAGCAAATGATCAAACCACAGCAGTAGGAAACTGCTAAGTATGCAGTTAGAACAAAGATAATATGTTAAATATGTTCATGTACATTTATTTAAAAGCAAGATTGCTGAATAAACATGCGGTTATAGCAGATTCCACCTTTACAGAAGAGCATTTTGATGTAGGTCAGTTTAAAACAAATGTTTCTAGAAATCTGGAGCTTCTAACATGGAGGGTTCCAGCAGCTCCTGCCCAGTAGTACAGTAACTTCCTGCCAGATAAAACACACTTTCAACACATTTTGCAATGATCAAGTTTCCTGCTTGATGTCTCATCTATTTACTACTGTGGTCCATTCCTCTTTCCCCCTGCTTGACAGAGAGCAAAGGCCCAAAACTTCCTTACCCTTCTACGACCTGCTCATATCTCTGATGCAGATTGAAGTCATTTCTCATACGGATTAAAGCCTTTCTGCAGCTCCCCACCTCAGCTCCTTACCCAGGGCAGATTTTTTTCATCCCTCCCCTAATCTCTGGTCGTCAGAATTCATTTTACCGTGGAAATTTCATCACTCTCATGTCCTTTTGCACTTAGCTTTTGCAATAGTTTCTTAGGCTAAATTGCTAATTTCTATTAGGCAACATTTTAACGACTCAGTTTTCCTGATTCTAATCCATTTTAGTGAAAACAGTATTTCTCTGTGTTTGTGCTTGCTTCAATAGTCACCTAATAAGACATTTAAATTCAAAACTTGAACAAACTACAACTATTGTCAAAGTCCAGTGGAGAGAAGTTTCCAGAAAGTGCCCATCAATATGATTTCAATGGAAATGGCCATGTGAGCATGACAGATGAGCATTGACTAAGGAGAACTCTGCTTGAAATCTGGAAGGCCACATTCTGGACCTGACTTGATTCTACCTGACCACGTGACTTGGACTATGTGACTTTTGGGATTCACTTCCTGGACCCTCAGTTTTTTCATCTTTAAATGAAGAATGTGTTGGTCAGGTCCCAGCAGGAAACAGGTGGCTACTGCAATGGAGTGATTGGGGGCAGTTTACTGAAGGGCATGGATGTGGGCACAGTCAAGGGCATCAACAAAGGATAGTGTGACACTCCTTAGAAGCAAAGATACTCTTTGCTTATCTTGACCTGAAGAGGTAGGGGGAGAGGTAAGTGGGTAGCATTATTACAGATCTGGAAAGCCAGCTTGAGGAGAGGGCCATCTTCATGAACTAAGACCTTGGGTAGAGGAATATAGCCACTAACAAAATGTGCCCAGGCAGTAGTGGTGGATGGATCAGTGAAATAAATAGCTTGACCTCCTCTCCTCCCACCCTCTGTTCTACTGTCTATATCTTCCTTGGGCTGAATTCAACAAGAAGCCAGAGGGCAAGAGAGCCTCAATGACAAGTCCAGAGAGACCAGCTTCACTGGAAGAGAGCAGCGTCGGGGGAGAGTG